GTTGGCAGATTTTCTTCTTTCAAAAACGAAAGAGGGACGTTGTTACGTTTATATCTGTGAGTTTGTGAGGTTGCTGTGTCTCCAGCAAGCTGACGCAGCAGCACAGGCATAATTCAGCTCAGACAGGCAAAAGAAGTTTTTTCTTGCATCTTTTTTATAAACTTTAAAAAGAAACGAAAAAGGCCAGAGACCAAAGCTGAGCTCAAAATGCTAATGGTGAATCAGAAGCAAATGGACAGCTCTAAACATATCTCAAGCTACTTTTTCAATTACCAACAACTTGACATTACAGTGAGTAAAGGAGTCAATCATGGCGTTTTACTTCCTTTAATGAGTCATTCAGAACTACAACAGCAAGACAGCAAACAACTGCCCTTCTTCCAACGCCAGAGAAATGTTACCGTAATAAATGTAGCAAATGCTCCCTTCCGTGAAACATCAAATAGTGCTAAAACCAGATATGGCAATTGATTTATCTACTTGTCAGTTCTTATAAGTATCTGGGTATCTGGCTCACTTTCATTTGAAAATCACATAATTGGGTTTCTAAACTGCAGCAGGTCATCTTTTACTGATTCTGCAAAGCAAACCTTGGTCGAAGTGACAATCTTAGATTACGGTGACATCATTTATAGAACTGCTACCAAAAAGCTTTTTCATTAACTTGATGTCATTTATCACTCAGCAATCCGTTCCATCACTGGTGCCCCTTTCACTACTCATCACTGAGATCTGTACTCACTCATAAATGACCATTACTCCATTCCTGCAGGATGTTACATTACATCAGTTCACATACAAAACAATTACAGGGTATCTACAGGTTTAAGGGAGCCAAATTTAATACTTTTTAAGACCTTTTTTAAGGCCATTTTGACCAAATTTAAGCTATTTTTAAAAATTAAATTTAAGCTATAATTTCCAACTATTGCCTGGAACTGGTGCTAACCATTTCGCGAACGTGAGATTAGCCATCCAGTTATTAAGCTTGCACTTCCCCATAGCGCACGCTCCCACTAGCTTAACCAGCTAATGTGCTCAGTTAAAAAAGCCCCCTTTCACAACCAACTGAATGTGTACGGTTCCGCTTATGCCAATGTCATACACAAAAAATGCTGAACACCAACTAGAAATTCACGAAAATGTTATAGAAATAAAAGAATCTTGTTTATTGGGTCTTTGGTAATTTAAGACCTTTGGAAATTGTATTTAAGGATTATTTGTCATTTTATGGATTTTAAGGGCCTTAAATTTGGAAAAGCTAATTTAAGACTTTTTAAGGACCCACGGATACCCTGAATTATCAGTAGAACACCGTCACATCTTTGCTCATTACTCATCACTTTCAACAACCAGCGCAACTCATGCTCCAGTAACTTCATCTCTATGGTTACTCCCAAAGCTCGCACCTCCTTTAGCCACGCCTCATTCCAGTTTGCTGCTTCCAACGACTGGAATGAACTGCAAAAATCACTGAAGCTCACTACCTACATTCCATTATCTACCTTCAATAATTCATTACAATCAATGGTTTCTGATCAATGTGCTTCTGAGTACTTAAAGACTGTTTAAGTCTGTTTTGATTGCTTGTACATATTATATATGAGAATAGTCCTTTCTCTTTATGTCTAACAGTTGTATCTTACTTTTGTCTTGTATTTTATTTTATCTAACCAGTTTTTCTTCAATGTAAAGCTAACTGTGTGTCTGTTGCTGCTGCCTCTTGGCCAGATCGTCGTTGTAAATGAGAATGAGATCTCAGTCGACTCATCTGGATAAATAAAGGTTAAAGGGACTTTACGGAGTTTTGAATTTTTATGCTTGCGATTGCCCACTCAGACCAAAAGCGTAACGGCAGCTTCAATAGTAGGCTCGTGCACGAGGCGCGCATGCTGTACGTGCACACTCCTTAACGAAAATAACAGCTGAGACAGAGCTCTGTGAAGCTGACCCCCGTCAGCTTCAAAAGTGGAGGCAAATAGGCCTCTGAGACAGTCCCTTGTGTGTGTGTGTGTGTGTGTGTGTGTGTGTGTGTGTGTGTGTGTGTGTGTGTGTGTGTGTGTGTGTGGCCCGGAGGACAGAGGACAGGAGAACACGCAGCTAATTGATGAAATAATTTGGCTCTGTACCTTTCTCTTCAGCACAGCTGACAAAGGTTTAAGATGGGTCAGTCCTCCTGCATGCTCAGATCATTCCCTTCCCTTGCTTGAAAAATTGTTCCAAAATGAAAGTTGAACCCACATCTTTTTCATCTGTGAATTCAATGCCGTTCGGCGAGTCTCAAATAAAAATTTGGACATCTTACTGTAAAAAAAATATACCATTAATGTAAAAAAGAAACTCTAAATGAACTATGCTCACATCCAGAATTGAACCCAGGTCTTCTGCATGAAGGTCCGTCACCTTACCTGGCGTGCTAAAGCACCAGTGACGTCATTTGTATCTGTAACATTTATATCCTTGATGACAGTGAAACAACGTTCAAAGAACGGTTCGGAGG